TTTCATGTCCTTATGTGCTCTTTAAATTCACGGAACTTCACAACCTCAATTATTTGGAATCAAAGAACTTCAGGTTTTGATTCAATCAAAAGGGCTCTATGTCCTAATCAAGTTATATGATGAGGATCGAGGAACTTTGGGCCCTGATCTTTTGTATATTACAAACTCATTATAATAATTAAGATCATACTTAAGATCCAATAAACAAACGAATAAAAAAAAAACATGGCATTATATTCATGTGTAATAAGAATAAGGATTTTTTTTTTCGTAAATGAGCATGATGAAGTCTGATGGTGAGTACAAAGAAACTCTATACCATGTGATGACTCTAGCTCATATAAGAAGAAAGAAAATTTAGAGAAAGAAAACATACCAAGAGCAATGTCGTGCTGATAACGTGTTATATAACTAAGGGGAAATTGTAGAGAGAATTGGAAAGTAGAGGAAGACAATAGAAATTGTTCAATCAACTTGTATTTCTCATCTTGATAAGACTTCTTATTTATAGGCTTACAATGGTAAGAAGACATTAACAACTCATAAGTTACAAGCCCATAACTATGGTATTTAGTGTATAGGTTACATAGAATTAGAAAGGGTGAATGCTAAGAGGTATGGTGGTCATCCACCAACTCATGCATTTACAACAAAATAAACCATTTAGTTTTATTCTCTCTTTCAGAGACCAACAATTTTAGTGTCAAGAATACTTGGGCTGATAACTGTAATAATAGTGAGGAGGGAGTTGGTTTCAAAGCATGTAGTGTATCAGCTAAAATTGGTGGACATTACTTTCCCAACCAAATTTTGACTTCTAATAAGCCACTATTAGGTTGACCAACGAGTTTATGAAAACCAGGTTCATGTGGGTTTGGCCTGTCGAGTTTTTTGTTTGTTTTTGGTTACAAGTGATATTGGGAGGAGGGAATCACATAGGACCTCGAGTGCGGGGATAGATGCTCTTAACCGCTTGAGCTACAAGGCCTTTACTAGCCTATCAAGTTTAAGCAAATGGTTTGCCAACCAAGTTTTCATTATGGCTCTACAAATGTTTGTAATACCCAAGAGAAAGCAGTGATTGGCCTGCAGGCCTTGATGGAATTGCATATGTTGGAGCTTTTATGCTACACAACATATCTGCAAGTAATGGGCAAGAACTTGAACATTTCTACAAATTGAAAAGAGAGAAAATGCTTGTGATTGCTTTTCCAGGAAGACCTTCAATCTTGTACTCCACACACAAGATTTAGCACACATTTTATTCATAAACTTTGGTACAAGGCATTTTGCAGCTCACAACTAAGCCTAATACAATCTTAAAACCCACAAAATAGAGCATTGCAAGCCTGACCAAATACAAAAAGTCTGTCTACAAAAAGGCATCTTCTACCAAAACAAGATGTTGAATTATGAAAGGAAAGATAGACCAAAACAAAGCCACACATTTACAAGGAGAAGCTGCAAATAGATGACCAAAACAGAGCCACACATTGTAATTTGAAATCAAGTCTGCTTTGGCTTTGGGTTAGTTAATTAAAATAACATCATAGCTGGAATTAATACATTAATCGAAGTGAGCTTGGATTAAAATGGATCTGTTTATTTCTCTCAACAACAAAAAAAAACATTAATCGGAGAACTCTGAATTAATTGTTCAGACAAGTAATTAACATTAACATAAATCATATTTATTCCTTCTAAGCAGTCCAAATTAACTAGTAAAATCTTCTCCAGATACTGGCAATCTTCCACACTTGAACTAAATGGAGGCATTCAGCTACAGCTACTTTTCTCCCAATTTAGATGCTGCAGCTAAATATCAAAGTAAACAAACTAATACCCGTCAGTTTGGAGAAAAGGAAAAAATGCAATAAGAAAAATAATTATAAAACAAAATTAATGATGAGGGAGAAAGAGTACCGCCACGAGCTTATCTATTAAGCATGTGCTAGCTTTAGTTGCCGCTTGATCAAAGCTGTCCTCACATAAAGCCAATAATTTAAATCATTCAAGAACTTGAAGTATGCGTATCTCCATGACTTGTTGAATATCAAAGTGCCGCAAACTCCCCAAAATCCAGCAGCAAACCCAATCCCCATACTGATGTAAAATCCCAGTGTCATAAACTCATCCTTACCCTCTTCATTTCTCGTTGGCTCATTTTCATCAGCACACATCTTTTTAAGTGGAGGTCCACAGAGTAGAGGATTTTCAGCATAATCAAGGGGATCGAAGCTTTGGAGCTGAGTGCCTGTGGGTATTTTGCCAGACAAGTTGTTATATGACAGGTCTAAGAAACCAAGACGATCTATCCGAGCAAGGCTTGTCGGAATTCTTCCATCTATCTGGTTTCTTGATAAATCAAGTGAATCCAATAACTCCAAGTTTCCGATCTCTGGAGTTATTTGACCTGTTAACTGGTTTCTCGAAAGATTTAAAGAAATCAACCCAACAAGATGAGTGATTTCACTTGGAATCTTCCCTGTTAATCTATTGCTTGAGAGATCAATTCTCTTCACAAGTCCCAAAGTGCTTTTGTATGTCTGCATTCTTCCTTTCCACATGAAGCTTGCATCATTGTCATAATCAGTAGGAGAAATTGACTCATTGACTATACTTCCGCCATAAATATGTGTGCTGGATAGACTTGGATTTCCTTTTTGAGCCAAAGTAGTCAAATTGTTGAGGCATTTGGGTATGCTTCCAGAGATGTTGTTCACAGAGAAATCCAAAATTTTAATATATGTTAGATGGCATAATTGCTTGGGCATGCTACCATTGAAGTGATTAGTGGAAAGCATCAGGATAACCAAATTCTTGTGTTCATAGAGAAATCCATAATTTTAATGTGTGTTAGATGGCATAATTGCGAGGGCATGCTTCCATTGAAGTGATTAGTGGAAAGCATCAGGATAACCAAATTCTTGAAGCTCACACCTAACCATGTAGGTATTGGTCCTGATAATTTATTATCTCCCAGATCAATAACTTCTAAACTTGCGCAGTTCTTCAACGATGAAGGCAATTCTCCAACAAATCGGTTGCTTCTTAATTTCAAAGTTTGCATTTGAAATAAAGAGCCTATTGTCGTGGGAATTTTTCCAGAAAAAGCGTTGTTACTCAAATCAAGCATGACTAGTGTCTCCAAATGGCTCCAGCAATCTGGAAGTTCTCCAGCAAAACTGTTGCTTGAAAGATTAAGATATGTTAAACTCATATCTGCACTTGCGCATAGGAAAGAAAGCGACCCTGAAATGTTATTATTAGAGAGATCCAGATGATAGACTCGTGACGGAGTTGAGGGAATTGGACCTTCTATTCCTTTTATTTGGTTATGTGAGAGATTAATAATTTCTGCATTACTCCAAAACCAACTGGGAAGGATATCCGAAATTCCCGCGTTCGAAATATCAAGCTGGTAAGAATAATTTTGAGTTTGAAGCCATTTTGGGAAAAGAGGACCGACCATGCAGGACGCCAAATTTATGTAAAGCAACTTGAAGGGAGGAACCCAATCAGAATGGAAATTTAAGATTAGTAAGTTAGAGGATAAATCCAAATATTCTAATTCGGAGAGTTTTGAGAAATGAGTTTCTGAAACCACCCCTTCCAAAAAGTTCATGCTGAAATTGATGCTTTGTAGTTGCGACATTTGTCCAATACTTTCAGGTATTTCTCCTCTTAATTGATTGACGCTGAAATCGATCCACTGTAGTTGCGACATTTGCCCAATACTTTCAGGTATTTTTCCCAAACTTGGATAATTGTCCACTCAGATGATTTCTTTGAAGCGACAATGATTGCAAATTACACAGCCTTGCAAACGAATTTGGATTCGCTCCTTCAATCTGGTTATCAGAGAGATCCAGACTCACAACAGAGCTCATGTTTCCAATGAAATCGGGAATGAAACCAGTTAGATTATTGATGGAGAGATCCAGATACGCAAAAGAGCTCATGTTTCTAGTGAAATCGGGATTGAAACTAGCTAGATTATTGTTGGAGAGGTCAAGAGCAACAAGGCTTGTATTGTAGTTGGACAACCAAAGAAATATTGACGAAGTGAGATGGTTGTTAGAGAGATCAACATACGCAAGAGATGTAGAAGAATTTGTTTTGTAAAGAGTAGTGGAAAGAATTGGAGTGGGAGGAGGAGGAAGACTACAGTTCACCAAGGTCAACTTTACTAGTTTAGGGAGCTTATTAAGTACTGCTTCTGGCCAATCGAAAACAGTACTAAGATTGTTTCCGCTTAGGTCCAAATCCATTAAAGAAGAAAGAGCAGGGAGCCAATTGAGATTTTCTGGTTGAAGGTGATTATTGCTGAGGTCGAGATTTTGCAATTGCGTGAGGTTTCCAAACGAAGTTGGAATTGGACCAATGAAATGACAGGAACGGAGACGGAGGTTTCTTAGATTGGTTAGAGAACCAATGAAATCAGGAATTTGGCTCCCATCGAAGCTTCCGCTTAGGCCCAAAACCGTTAAAGAAGAAAGAGCAGGGAGCCAATTGAGATTTTCTGGTTGAAGCTGATTATAGCTGAGGTCGAGATTTTGCAATTGCGTGAGGTTTCCAAACGAACTTGGAATTGGACCAATGAAATGACAGGAACGGAGACGGAGATTTCTTAGATTGGTTAGAGAACCAATGAAATCAGGAATTTGGCTCCCATTGAAGTTTCCGCTTAGGTCCAAATCCGTTAAAGAAGAAAGAGCAGAGAGGCAATTGAGATTTTCTGGTTGAAGCTGATTATAGCTGAGGTCGAGATTTTGCAATTGCGTGAGGTTTTCAAACGAACTTGGAATTGGACCACTGAAATTACAGGAATTGAGACTGAGGTTTCTTAGATTGGTTAGAGAACCAATGAAATCTGGAATTCGACTCCCATTGAAATCAATCTGTGTAAGGTCCAAATACGTTAAAGAAGAAAGAGCAGGGAGCCAATTGAGATTTTCTGCTTGAAGCCAATTATAGGCGAGGTCGAGATGTTGCAATTGCGTGAGGTTTCGAAACGAACTTGGAATTGGACCAATGAAATAACAGAAACTGAGATTGAGGTACCTTAGATTGGTTAGAGAACCAATGAAATCTGGAATTTGGCTTCCATCATTGAAATTAATCAATGAAAGGTCCAAATATTGTAAATGCTGCAACTCAATCAGTTTAGGACTAATCATCTTACCTTGGAAAGCATATCCATGATAATCAAGTTGAATCATCTCATCAAGGAAAGAATATCGAACATCAAGTTGAAACATCTCATCAAGGAAAGAATATCCAAGATCAAGTTGAATCACATGGCCAGTTTGGTTGCTACAATAGACTCCTTCCCATCTGCAACAATCTTGTTTTTCGGCTTCTGAACCCCAAGTTGAGAGTTGATTGAACCTATCCACCAGGCCACGTTTGAATGCAAGTAGTGCTTGCCTTTCCCTCTCTATGCACCTCACTGTCACTTTAGCATCTTTGAGGCTGTGGCTCTGGCTGTGATTGTGGCCAACTTCTCCTCCTTTTACGTTTTGTAGGAAAAGGATCAAAAGTGCAAGAAAGAGTTTCAAGCACCTTCCGTCGCCCTTCATGTTACTTGATCAAAAGCACATGCACATGCAAAAACACTGCAAGTATATATTGATATATGCTGGCTTGCATCAGATATATATAGGAAAAAAAGGAAGAAAGCCTTTACAAAGAAAAACACGGTTTAGCTAAAGACAAAACCATACAAAGGAGTAAATTATCTGCTATATACAATGCATAGTTAATGTTATGGAAATCACACGTCAATCACAATGCATAGTTAATGTTATAGAATGTCAAGGTGCAATTCTAAAGAAAATTCCTAATACTTTGGATTCGAATCTCTTTATTATGGAGGTAATCATAACTTACAGAAACCAAATTAATTATGATGGCATGGATGAAACGAATGATGATCACAATACTTAAATTGATATTCCACTACTTTAATTCTCAACAGCAACAAAATTGATTTTTGTCAATTGTAAGCATGTTGTTTTTTTGGTTTCCCCATTGTTCGTTCTTTGAAGGGTTTCGCTTCTTATCACCTTGTTATTTTAATTTTAATTTATTGTTTCTTAATGTTATACTAAGTTTAGGTTTTTTTTTTCTACTTAAGAGCTGAGAGTGGGTCCAACAAAAAATAAGAATTCAGGGTGGCGTCTTGTAACCTGCAAAACACTTTATAAACACACCCAAAACCCATCATTACACACACTCAAAACCCATTTATAAACACACCCAAAAAATATATAATTGTTTATTTTAGAATTGATTTTGGGTGTGTTTCTATATTTAAATAGTGTGTGGGTTTTTTTATAAATACATGCCTAGAATTGGGTTTATTTATAATAATCTATTTTTTTTTTCTACTTAAGAGCTGAGAGTGGGTCCAACAAAAATAAGAATTCAGGGTGGCGTCTTGTAACCTGTAATGAGGTGAACTCTCTAGTTATAATTTACAAAAAGGAAAAAGGAGCTCTTAGATATAGGTCCAATTTCACTTATGTAATCAGAAGTGGACTATACCAAATTTTCTAAAAAGAAGAAGAAAAAAACTATACAACGTACAACTGACTCTTGGGGAAAAACAAGTAATAAATCAATGAACATTGGGGAAATTAATGGATGAGATCAAACACTTGTGATTTAGACTTGATATGTTGACTTGCCTTCCAACGCGTGCTCCAACTGACAGGTATTGATTCAACTTGACTTGGTAAGGTGCCTTCTCGTGTCCACTCAACCATTGACTTTGCATCCCATCCCCTTGGGCGCAAGTTACAAACATCTTCTTGCAGATGTGGACATGACTTAAGTGAAACATGTGGAAATATCTCTACCCAACCCAATATGAATATAATACCAATATATTTATTGATACTAATAAATGAAAATTGGGTTTTTATTCAACAACTATAATAAGAGAGCTTTTCAAAACACTTTGGTTATTGACCAAGTCTATTTTGAAATGCCCTTATAATTTAGGTTAATATTAAATGGGGTCTTACGATTACACACACGAAAGTGGATTATAACAAATTTTCTAAAAAGAAGGGAAAAAAAAACTATACAACGTACAACTGACTCTTATAAAAAAACTATACAACGTACAATCGACTCTTATTCATAAAATTTCAGTGGTCCAAGTAAACAAGTGATAAATCAATGAATATTGGGGAAATTAATGGATGAGATCGAAGACTTGTGACTAAGACTTGATATGGACCATATGGTGATTTGCCTTTCAATTCAACTTAGAATTGATATGGTGACTTGCCTTCCAATGTGTTCTCCAACTGACTTGCAGGTATTGATTCGACTTGACTTGGTAAGGTGCCTTACCGTGTCCACTCAACCATTGGCCTTGCATCTCATCCCCCCTGGGCACAAGTTACAAATATCTTCTTGCAAATGTGGACTTGACTTAAGTGAAACATATGGAAATATCTCTACCTAACCCAATATTAATATAATACCTGTATATTTATTGATACTAATAAATGAAAATTGAGTTTTTATTCAACAACTATAATAGGAGAGCTCTTCAAAACACTTTGGTTATTGACCAAGTATATTTTGAAATGCCCCTATAATTTAGGTTAATATTACATGGGGTCATACGATTACACACAAAAGTGGATTATACCAAATTTTCTAACAAGAAGAAGAAAAAAAACTATACAACGTACAATCGACTCTTATTCATAAATTTTTAGTGGTCCAAGTAAACAAGTGATAAATCAATGAATATTTGGGAAATTAATGGATGAGATCGAAGACTTGTGACTTAGACTTGGTATGGATCATATGGTGATTTGCCCGTCAATGCAACTATTGACTTAGAATTGATATGGTGATTTGTCTTCGAACGCATTCCCCAGTTGACTTGCAGAGGCTTGACTTGGTAAGGTGCCTTCCCGTGTCTAATCAACCGTTGGCTTTGCATCCCATCCTCCAAGGCACAAGCTACAAATATCTTCTTGTAAATGTGGATTTGACTTAAGTGAAACATATGGAAATATCTCTACCCAACCCAATATTAATATAATACCTGTATATTTATTGATACTAATAAAAGAAAATTGAGTTTTTATTCAACAACTATAATAGGAGAGCTCTTCAAAACACTTTGGTTATTGACCAAGTATATTTTGAAATGCCCCTATAATTTAGGTTAATATTACATGGGGTCATACAATTACACACAAAAGTGGATTATACAAAATTTTCTAACAAGAAGAAGAAAAAAAACTATACAATGTACAATCGACTCTTATTCATAAATTTTTAGTGGTCCAAGTAAACAAGTGATAAATCAATGAATATTGGGGAAATTAATGGATGAGATCGAAGACTTGTGACTTAGACTTGGTATGGATCATATGGTGATTTGCCCGTCAATGCAACTATTGACTTAGAATTGATATGGTGATTTGTCTTCGAACGCATTCCCCAATTGACTTGCAGAGGCTTGACTTGGTAAGGTGCCTTCC